TATCAGACATATGGACTAATATTGGCCTTATGGACTTGATCTGGACTGGGATATTTTCCTAATATAAAGTTGCTCTTTCATATAAAGCTCTTTCTTATACACATGTGAGTGTCTATGAATCTGTTTCTCTAGTCAACCCGAACTAACACATATTATAATGGGAAAATTCTAGAAATGTAGACATTTGAAGGGAACAGAGAGAAACAAGCAAGGTGTTGTGGTGAAGGGGACTCTCCCTTCCCCACAGGGAGCCCAAGGCCTTCCTTGTAAGACCTTGATGGATCAAAACAAGATCTGGACTGACTCTCTCTCTCTCTCTCTCTCTCTCTCTCTCTCCAGCTCGCGGCAACCCCACAGGCCAGTGTGGAACTGCACTCCACAGCTTTTCAGTCGTGGTTTTTTGAAAAGCAGATTCCTCTGCTTTTCTTCTGAGGTAGCTCTGGTTGGATTTGAACCACCAGCCTTTTGGTCAGCAGCCACTACTGTTTGCAACACGCAGGGCCTCCTACTTGACAGATGACGAGAAGAAGGAGAAATTTGCCTGAGACAGCTTGCAGGAGCAGGTGGACCTCAGAAGCTCTGGTGGCACAATGGGGTATACATTGGGCTGCTAACCAACCAGGCCAGTGGTTCGAGCCCACCAGCCACTCTGAGGGAGGCAGATGAGGCTGTCGACTCCTGAAAAGATTCAGTCTCAGAAACCTGAAGAGGCAGTTCTACTCCATCCTATCGGGCTGTGATGAGTTGGTATCCACTTGGTGGTGGTGAGTTTGGTTTGGAGTTTTGGGACGTTGACCTCAGGGCCTGTGTTCTTCATCTGGGGCAGCGGTCCTCAACCTGTGGGTTGCAACCCCTTTGGGGGTCGGACGAGCCTTTCACAAGGGATACCCAATTCATCACAGTAGCAACATTTCAGTAATGAAGTAATAACAAAAATAATTGTATGGTTGGGGGTTACCACAACATGAGGAACTGTATTCAAGGGCCGTAACATTAGGAAGGTTGAGAACCACTGACCTGGGGCGCCCCACAGCCCGGTTTGCTGCCCTTCAGTGATGGGGAACCCACCCATCTATGCTGGGCCTTGAGATGTATGTTTGTCTTGACATCGCTTGGCCTTAGCACAGATGCCCACAGAGCCACGGTTTATCTAGGCCCCCAAGAGATAAGGGAGTCTGGTGTGACGAGCCAAGCCAGCCTCTCGGCCCCATCTGCCTTCCCCATCCACGCCAGGAAAGCAGCCCGTTTGGGGCCTGTGATTGGTTGGACCCACAGACCCCTGAGTGCTTCTGGAAGAGCCACGTGAGACTCAGGTCAGGGTCTCCCCTGGGAGAAGGCATCACCAACACAGGGAGCAGCTTTTGTACTTGCTGTTCTTCCACCTCCTGGTGCGCCGTCAGGGCAGAGCAGCATTGCCCCCCACTTCCCTGGAGTGGACTGTCAGGTCTCTACTCCTGCGGGGCAGCAGGCTTCATCAGTGCCCCACTGGGGCTTCTTGGGGAACAGCTAGCTCTTGCTTCAGCCCTGCTTGTTGAGGGGCCCTGGGTAGGATGCTGGGATCTCCTGGGCCCCCAGTTCTTTGTCTCAGCACTGGGCTGGTCTAAGGATGATGGACAGAGTTGCAGAGGAGATTGGGAAGGGCCCTTTGACCTCACACTCAAGTTATTTTGCATATGGGTTGCGGAGGGTCATGGTTTCTTTTACAGTAGGACTCCACTTAGTTTTTCTTCAAATTGCAGGGGGCCGGGGTGGGGGTGGGGGGATTGGGCAGCTGACCCACTCCTACTGCATCCGTGCTGCCCGCTTGACTTTTGTCATCTCAACACTCACTGGACAAGACCAGACAATGACCCTGATGGTACAAAGGGAGAAACTGAGGCCCAGAGAGGAGAGCTGACGTGCCCAGAGTCCCGCAGGCCCTAAATAGAGCCAGGATTTGAACCCGGGTCTGTCTGACCTGGAGCAGCTGTTCTTTCTGGATATATAGATTGCTGCGTCTGAGACTCTGGTCTCAAGGCCGCCAGCCCCTCCCCCAGAGAAACAGATACTTGTCAAGATAGACCTAGCAGACCAGTCCCCAAACGCTGATAACAAGGCTCGTCAAAGGCAATGGCCACACTCAGAATTGCCTTTCCTGGAGCGCAGCGGGTTGCATAAAGCCAGGGTTTCAGACTTCCTGTCAGTTTGCGGGGTGGGAGGAGGTTAGAGCAAGGGCTTCGAGGAGGGGGGGGTGTGTGTCTCCAGTCAGATCAGCATCTGGGAGGGGAAGCAGCTGACAGTCCCATAGCTGGTGGGCTATGAGGGAGGGTCTTACAATAGTCACTTCTCGCCTGTGGAAGGCACTTGACAAAGCCCACTGGAAAGAAGGGAGGGTGAGGCCCTTAGCAGGGTGAGGGGAGAGAGGTAGGGTGGGGTCTGAGGAGGCAGCAGAGACCAGCGCTCCCAGTGGGTGGGGCAGGCCAGGGGCTGCCATCTGCCTGCCCTCAGGGGGCCTGTCTGCCCCTGCTCCTGCTCTCTCTCCGTCTCCCTCAGTGCCTCTGCATCTGCCCCGAGGAACCAGCCTGCAACCGGGAGATGGAGCTGCCTTCGGGAGATGTCCCAAACCCAGCCTGGTCGGGAGGGAGAAGCCCTGTCCAGTGGGAGTCAGCTCACACACATGCTCCCTTGACCAACAAAATTTATTCCGGGCCTTCCCTGCTCCAGGCCTTGAGCTCCGTGGGGGCAGAAACAGGGAGGGGGGTGGGCTGTTGTGGTCCCTGCTCCACTGGCCGGTGGAAACTGGAGCCCCACACCCTGAACACATGGGAGCAAGCAGACCCACCTCTCAGGTGCATGGGGCACGCGCGTGACCGTGGGGCCACTGCTGTGAGACGACAGATCGCAGGGCCGGCTGCCTGCAAGGCAGGCAAAGTGGAGAGCTGGGCCTCCTTCAGGCACTGTAGCCACTGAGCCTGTGATGTCCCCAGAAACGGTGTCCCCAGACACCTGGAGGACTGTGGCCCCCCAGTGCTGGGACTCTTCAGAGTGCTGGGCTTGGCAGAGACCAGGGGCAGGATGGGCAGGAGCATCAAGGTGGGGGAAGGGGGAGAGGGTCAGTAATTCTAGCAGGTTCTGCAATCTTGGGTTGGGACACTCGGGCCCATAGATCCATCTAGATCTTTGAGGCCATGTGACCCAGTCTGGTCTCCATGCTCCCCTCCCCAGCCACTGTGCCCAGAAGGAAACCGCGGCCCAGAGAGAGGCAGGGACCCACCCAAGGTCACATAGTGAGGCAGAGCTGAGTCCGGGGCCCAGGGTTCCAGCCCCCAGGCAGCCACGGGGCGGCCTCCTCATCCCTGAGACACGGAGTGATTCTGGTCCACTCGGGCGGTTCCAGCCGAGGAGGCCGGGGCGCTCTGGCTGGGGAAGTAGAGGACTGTGAACCAGCAGAAGATGAAGACACCTGTCCGTGACGAGAAGGGGCCAAGGTGAGCTTGGGGTGGGGGGTGGGGGACACACAGCGAGAGGGGCTTGTTCAAAAGACCACTCCAGAAATTATGGATGAAATCAGACACCTATTTCTAGAAAAGAACCCAATAAAAATCTTGGGAATGATAAATTTTCTTCCTCTTTCACCTGTGAGTTTGGCCTAGAGGGCCTGCAGTTAGCTCACGGCCTATGGCTGAAACTCACTGCAGTTGAGTTGATGCCGATGCATACTGACCCTATAGGACAGGGCAGAACTGCCCCTGTGAGTTTCTGAGAGTAGACTTTCTCCCACTGAGAGGCTGGTGGTCTTGAACTGTGGGCCTTGCGGTTAGCAGCCCAATGCAAACCCGCTACGCTGCCAGGGGTCCCGAAGGTAAACAGGATAAGTAGAGAGGGAGTGGCACGCAGTGTCATGTATGTGTGCATGTGCATGCTCCTCACCTTGCAGGGAGTTGAGCAACGTGAAGATGTACACAGTGGACAGGCCCAGGGGGGTGAGGATGGCCAGACCCCAGGTCATGCCCACCAGGCTCGAGAGGCCCAGCAGGGTGAGGACCCCCTTCCAAGTGGGCCCTTGGTCCTTGCCCGCCATGGCGCTCGGCAGTGTGAAGATCTTCCAGGCCACAAGGCCCAGGACCACGGCGCTGAAGAGGAACGTGAGGAGGAAGTAGCCGTGGACGGTGACATAGAGGGCAGTCGTCTTATGGAACCAGCACCTGGAGGAAGGGGACAGGACAGCACTGGGACGGCAGAGGGGACAGCACTGGGACAGCAGAAGGGTCAGCACTGGGATGGCAGAGGGGACAGCACTGGGACGGCAGAGGGGACAGCACTGGGACAGCAGAAGGGTCAGCACTGGGACGGCAGAGGGGACAGCACTGGGACGGCAGAAGGGTCAGCACTGGGACAGCAGAAGGGTCAGCACTGGGACAGCAGAAGGGTCAGCACTGGGATGGCAGAGGAGACAGCACTGGAAAAGGAGAGGGGACAGCACGGGGATGGAAGTGGAGAGCCTGGCCCATCAGCCCCCAGGTTTCCCCACTGCTGCCCTTTGAAGACCCCTTCTCTACCCTCCTGCCCCACTTTCCTCCCCAAGAGGGGCTGCCAATGGCTTGGACCACCTGAGCCCAGTGTGTGTTAAAGGGCCAGTGTGACCCCGAGGTTGGTGGTGGCACCACGGGTGCACCGGTCAGGAGTCTGGGCACTCAGTTCAGCCTTGGTGCCCCGTGCACAACCAAGAGCCCTGGACGAGCACGGGTTCTTCTCCACTGTACAGACCAGGGCATGGGCTTGGCCCAGGCCACGCGATCAGGCAGGAGCAGAGCCTGGACTAGACCCAGGGCTGCCATGAACACTGTGCCTGGCACAAGGGTACCTGGCAGGGAGGGGGCAGGGAGGAGCAGAGATCCTGCACTCCCCAGGCAGAGCACCTAGGGAAGACTATTCTTCAGTTTAGCGCCCCCCACCCTGACCCCATGCTACCAGCTGGCTGGATGTGAGGGTCTTTCCAGCTTCATCACAGTCCATCTCTCTTCCTGGGGCTCCCCCCACCCACCTCTAGCTTCCGTCTGTGAAGTCCGGGCCTGCCCACACAGCCACTACTCACAGAGCCAGTGTGGTCCGGTTGTCCTGGTCCAGGATGGTGTAGTGGCCATAGCTGTCGGCACTTCCGGCGCCGATGACAACCAGGACAGGAAGGCCTGGGAGGCAAGGGAGGCAGTGTGCATCGTCTGCCTCGCTGGGCATGCCCTACTCAGTCCCCCGTCCCTCCACCTCCAGCTGCCCATCCTGGGCTGACCAGACAGCGCCTCTCTCCCTGGGAAATCCCCACCCCCCACCCTGCACCCCCAGTCCCGACTAGGGAGGAAGTCCTCTCTTCTGCCTGCCCACACAGCACCTACCCCAGCCCACCAGGCTCAGCTTCATGAAGTAGTGTCCGAAGTAGGTGTTGAAGACCCTGAGGACGAGCAGGTACAGGTGGAAGGCTTCCAGGCCCATCCAGGTGAAGGCGCAGAGCAGGAGGTAGTGGAAGATGGCTCCTCGGAACCAGCAGCCAGCCGCCGAGCCCTGGGAGCCGCTCCCCACGGTGACGAAGAAGGCCAGGTTCAGGAGGAACAGGCTGACGCTCAGGGCCATGTGGATTTTGGGGGCATCTTCTGACTTGACTCTCTGCCGGAAGAACCTGCACGACGAGGGCCAGTGGGTGGCCCGGGATTGGGGGGCACAACTTCCCTGGGGTCTGTCCATCGCACCTCCTCAGTCCCACCCTGAGCCCTGGCTCTCCACCCGGTCTTCCAGCTTGACCTGCGGGGCAGTCAGTGCATGGGGAGCCGCTTGTTCAGGCTCAGAACCCAACAGCTTTTAGACCCTGCCGGCCTCACGCTTGGCGCCGAATCCCTGGCAATTCCCTGCACGCCTGCTGCCTTTTCAACCTCTTGGACTTGGGCCTAATTCCTCCCTTCCCTCAGCTCTAAAGCTTCTCCCGCCTCCTTGCCGGCTCTTTCATCTTCTACCTTCAGAACTCAGAGGAGGCTGCCTGGGAGGCCCGGCTGCTGTTCCACAGGGAGCCAGCCAGAGATGAACAGCCCCATTGGGTTGCCTGGATGGTGATCTTTATTCTTCTGCGGAACTGCTGGGTGGGTGGGCTCCCATTGCCGGCCTCTCTGTTGGGAGCCGAGTGAGCACTTAGCTATCGCAGCTCCAGGGCTCAAAGGCCCTTGGCCCTGGGTGGGGTGTGGAAGCTTCTGGCCACCCCAGGGTCACACCAACTCCCCTTTGCCTCTGCATGGACAAAGGGCCTGACTCCATAGGCAAGTGCGCACCCTGACCTGCTCAGCAGAGTGGGGTCTCTGAGCTGGGGTCCCCGTATAGAGCGCCCATTCTGTGCCCTAAAAAACCAGGGATGGGAGCCCAGGGCTGCCTGTAGGGGGTGTGGGAAGGGATGGGTGGGTGGGTGGTGGCCACCTCACCTGAGTAGCCAGGCCCCACCCTTGGGAGCTGGTGACAATTCCTCTTGGAGCTTCAAGCCCAGCTCAGGGGATCCGGCAGCACAGTGGGCTGGGAAGTCACGCTCAGCTGGCCCGGGCTGGGAGCCATGTCCTAGGCTAGAACTTGGAGGGTGGTACCACTTACACACCTGCTTCTGCCTGAGATGGGCTGGATGGAGCTGATGGGGACTGCAGCCCAGGGCCAAATGGACAAAGGCAGGGCAGATCCCTGGACCGGGAATTCAGAGAGTCCGGGGCACCTCCCAGAGGCAGGGCTGGGCAGGCGGGGGCAGAGGCACAGCCTGAGACTAGGAGAGCGGGGCTGCTCAGTCTCTGTGTTTGTGCCTTTCCTGCACACACACACCCCTCCCCAAACACACACACACACCTTGTGGACTCTGCCTGGTTCCCCTAGGGACCCTCCCCAACACATGAGGTCTGGGTGGGCGTTGCCCTTTGGTAATTCATTCCCAAAAGGAGGCCCAGGGCCTAACTTGGCCAATCTGTGCAGTCCATTCCATGAGTCCAGTGATCTGTCCAGCTGTGGGCGCATGACCCAAATCTGGCCAGTACAACTTAATCCTCCTGGTCTATAGATGGATAGGAGCCCTGATGGTGTAATGGGTTACACGTTGGACTTTTTACCACAAGGGTAGCGGTTCAAAACCACCAGCTGCTCCACGGGAGAAAGAGGAGACTTTCTATCCCCATAAAGATTTACAATCTCGGAAATTCATAGGGACAGTTCTACCCTGTCAGAATCGACTAGATGGAAGGGAGTTTGGTTTCTGGGGAGACACTGGATAACTTCATATGCACACACACACATGCACACACAGATGGGCCAGCTTCATGGAATGGGGGTGGCGCGCTTCACAGCCTCACGAGGCCTGGTGCCCACACAATCCCTGTGCTTGTTTAATGTCACTGTCTTCACATACCTAATCACTTCTTAACAAAGGGCCCCCATTTTTCATTTTGCACGAGGCTTGCAAATTATGCAGCCAATCCTGCACACACATACACACACACACACGCGCGCACGCACCACCTACACGCACACATATACATGCATGCACACGAATGCACACATGCATGGATGCACACACATGCATACCTATATGCACATTACACACACATGCACGTGCACTGATGTGCATAGGTACATACATGCACATGGACATATGCACACAGGCACACAGATGGGCAAAAACTACTGTACAGTGAGCAGGAGGGTGCCAGTACCAGCGTGCTGGTCGTGAGATGCCACCTTAGAAAGGTCCCTGGGCCTCTATTTCTGTAACTTCTTGTGGGTCTATAATTATTTCAGAATGGAGTGAGAAACAAAACAATGAGATAAAATACTTTAAAAGGAAAAACATTCCAAAGAAAACATGTTTTACAAACCCACTTCAATGTGGGGGTTGGGGCTCACAGAGCCCTCCCCAAGCATGAAGAAGCGGCCTGGCAGTGGGAGACAAAGCTGTGATATGCGGAGAGACAGCAAGTCCTATGGCCTGACGAGCCCCTGGATCGAACCAGGGACGGCACACAGCCTGGGACAAAACAAAGACAAGACAACTCGCGGCCGTCGACTCGATGCGACTCACGCGACCCTCTAGGACAGGGTAGCACTGCCCCTGTGGGGTCCCGAGACTGCAACCCTTTAGGGGAGTGGAAAGTCCTGCCTTTCTCCCTCCTGTGATGCTTTGTCATTTGCTGGGAGAGCCCTGACACACTGCCGCCCACTAGGTGGGCTGTGTTGATGAGCGACTGCAGCTTTGCCGTCGTCAGGCAGTGTATACAGCCAGGGTGTGTTCCGCCCTGCCCACGGCCTCCCTGAGGGAGGGAAGGAGATGCAAGGAACATGAGGGTGTCACCCACCTCAGCACGGCGTAGAGGGTGATGGTCAGGGCCAGGAAGAACATGGAGGTTCCGCAGCCCGCCTGGGAAATGCGCGTGAGGGCCTGCACGGTAGCCCGGTCCAGGACGGGCCTCTGTGGGTGGACCCCAGCAGGACCCTGTCAGTGGAGGCTAGGCACACACCCCTCAAAGGCCCTGGGCCTTCCGAGGGCCCCTCCCCAGGCAGGAGCCTCTGGGAGAACGGGGGTCTGGGTGCAGGGAGGCCCTTACCAGCAACAGGGCGAAGAAGGTCAGGTGGTCACAGCGGCACACCGTGCTCCTCTCTGCCCGCTGAGTGGAGCAGCCTCTGGACACCCAGTCTCCTGATGCCCCAGGGAGAGGGAGCAAAAGGCCCCTGAGGCTGACGCCCACCTCCATCCTCAGGAACCCTCCCCCTCCCCAGGAAGATCCTCCTCCAGGCCCTACCTGTCGTCACATCCCAGAAAGCACAGGTGAGGGTCATGTTCTGAAAGCAGAGGGTGGAGTCAGTGGGGCTGGAGGGAGGTGGAGGCCTGCCCTAGCATGTTCGCTTGCTCCCCAGGGCAGCGTGGGAGGGCATGCCTATGGCCTGTGGTGTCTGCAAACATGTGACCGCACGGACACAAGGATGTCGGTGCACGTGACGCCCTGCATGCCCCGCTGGGAATGTGTGCGTGGGTGGTGTCCAGGGCACACATGCAGGGTGGACGTGCCTCTCTGGAGCGTGCAGCTGCAGCCCTGTGTGCCTGAGTCTACTCGGAGCCCACACGTAGCCCCCCAGCTGTCTGCCCCCCAGGGGCTTGCAGGCCTGCAGGGGGGACTCACCGGGAGGTGGGGCTGGTGGGAGAAGGTTATTTCCAAAGGCTC